GAGAGAGAGGGAGACAGACTCTGAAGCAGGCTCTAGGCTCTGAGCTGTCAGCACAGAGCCCGATGTAGGGCTAGAACCTACGAACTGTGAGATCATGACCTGAGCCAAAGTTGGACACTTAACCGACTGAGCCACCTGGGTGGCTCTGTATACTCCTGTATTACTCTGTGCTTCTGTAGCATTGTGCTGCTCTGTGCTTTCTACTATTATGTATGTGTGTCCTCGTGTAGTCTTCAGTAAGTGGTGGAGTGTGAAGTAGTCTCCTGATTCTCCAGAGAAAGTAGCTGAAATTCAGATGACCCGTGTTAGACCCTCTGTGTCATTTAGCTCTGCCCTCTGTGGCCATTTTGTAGTCTGGGAGGTGAACCAGGGCTTGTATTCAAGGTCACTGTGAGCCTCAAAGCGGAGGTCAGCAACCAGGGGTTTGTTTCTAGTTTCTACAGGTGCAAGGTGCACAGAGAAGGGAATGAGAGCTTCAGAAATATTTCAGTGGTGTGATTTTCCCATAGGCCCAATAAAACCTTTGCTTATTTTGTTGAGGTTAGTGGAAATCTGTAAATTGTTGAGGGCTAGAAACACGTGTAATTTTATCTTAGAGCTAAGAGACCTCAGAGTCATCAGGCTGAACGCTTGTTTACTGAAGTGGGAACTCAGGTTAGTGACATGCCTGGTGGCACATGGCCTGCAGAGTTCAAAGGCCCCCTGTTGGCCCCTGCAGGACAGACAATGCTGTGAAGAATCACTGGAACTCCACCATCAAAAGGAAGGTGGACACAGGTGGCTTCCTGAGTGAGTCCAAAGACTGCAAGCCCCCTGTGTACTTGCTGCTGGAGCTTGAGGACAAGGACGGCTGCCAGAGTGCCCGCCCCGTGGAAGACCAGGTGAGACAGCGGCCTGAGGCCACTCAGCCGCAGGGCTTGGCTCTGGGTTTGTCAGGTGGCATATTCCTCCAAGACCATCTCATTTAATGCCTCTTCTTTCCTTTCCATCTTACTTAGCCACAGCTGTCCATTAGCTCCTACCACGGGATCTCGTGGGCTACGCCTCTCATCAAGGCCTTCCCTTGTCCCATAATTCTGTGCATACCTGACACCTATTTGTACGCAGGTGAATTACGACAGAACAAGCTGACATATGAAATGGAGGATTGGGTTGAAGAGATCCTAAACCTCCTTCTGTCCTCCCCAGCAGCTTCCTTCCTACCTGTGCCCTTTCCAGATTTTTCATACTAAAAGCATGTTTGCAATTTAAAAAATCAGATTTATTGAGGTATAATTCTCATACAGTAAAATCTGTGTTTAGTGTACAGTTCTTTTTTTATTTTATTTTTTATTTTTAAGTTTATTTATTTATTAGAGCATGAAAGTGAGGAAGGAGCAGAGAGAGAGACTCCCAAGCAGACCTCACACCACCCGTGTGGAGACTGATGTGGGGCTCGAACCCACAAACCATGAGATCATGACCTGAGCCCAAGTCAGACGCTTAACCGACTGAGCCAACCAGGCAACCCCGTGCAGTTCTTTTTTTTAAGTTTTACTTTCTCTTTCCTAATATTTTTTTCTTTTTTTTTTAATTTTATTTTTTATTTTTTAAAATTTA